TATTACCTACCTTTCAACCTTCGACTTCCGACCCCTCTTAATCAGGAGCGTAGCGACCGACGGTCCATCCGCGAATAATCGTTGCGCGAGGTGCTCCGGGAATGTCGAAAGTACTCTTCAATACGCGAAGGGAGGTAAGGTGGAGGTACCACCAATTATTAAGAACTATTAAGTCTGTAATTCGAATTACTTTGTTCAATATTCCAAGTTTAAAATTATGTATAAAGATTGTGCGTTTTGCAGGTTTTCTCCGTGTTCAGATCCATTTTTGGAATGCCAACGTTTCGTGAACCTTGCAGTTCACTTCTTCAAGGAAGCCTGATATTGGAATTTAAAATTATGTATTTATCGCTATATTCCTTAAATTTTAAATGCAATACAGAATCATTTAAAAAATATATGTATTTACATATATAGTATCTAATTATAGTATCTAATTACACACACACACACACACACACACACACACACACACACACACACACACACACACACATATACAGACTAACCAAGAAAAATTAAAGCAGCTATTTTTTTAAGAATCTTAAATAGCTATTAAATAATACATCATTTTAAAAAACTTTTATTACCGTGTTATTTGTTAATTTAAATAAGTACTTTTCGAGAAATCTTATTTAGAAATCTATTCTAATCAAGAGATTGAAGCAGCATAGTTGAAAATTATTATAATTAAGACCATAGCACTTTTGCATAACGCATAAGTTCTGAAACACAATAGATGTAGTAAACTTTAAAAAATTGACTGTGATTGATTAATTTCTTAAAGCTTAATTCTTAAAGCTTAAAGCTTACTACATTTATTGTTTTGGTACTTAAGTTAGAGAATGAACCAATCAGAATCTTTCTCTCTCTCCTTTATTCTAATAAGGATGAAATCAAAGGAGTCTGAATGATTGATTCTCTTGTGAATTATGCAAAAGTCCATAATGCGACCTTTATTCATTCCCTTTAAGAACATATTGTGTACAAATAAATTAAATTGTTAAAAAAAAAATTTTAAAAAGTGGTGAACAATTTTCGATGACTCACTATATATATTTTTTTTTTCTTTTATATATATATAT